AACTATCGGAACAAGACAGATTCTTAACTATCGGAACAAGACAGATTCTTCACGTTAGTAGAAAGTCGAAATTCTTTCCTACCATTTCATCCTTTTATTAAAACAGTAAGATCTTAAAACTTTTGAAGATTTTGCTTTTCTTACTTCTCCCACAATCGCACTACACTGCAGATGCGACTTCAGTGGAACATAAAATGCACGAACCATACTCGATGAAAATAGACAAAAGACAGGCGAGAATAACTAAAGCTCCTTTCTGCTCTATGATCGGGTCCTTCTTGATAAGAGTCACAAATGTCGCTATATCGTCTGTTGAGCCTTCACCCTAAAAAACTGATCATACATAAAATTAATGGAGATTAGCATAGCAGTTAATGCTACAATTTAATTCGGCATACTTTGTCTTTGAAGAAAAATGGCGCATAAAATTCAATGTTATCGGTATTAATAATAACAATAAATTTAAGTTGAAAGAAGGCGATGATGAATATGAAGTGGTTCTTATAACCTTTTGATTTCAGCAACTTATATTAACCACATCTTATTAAGCGAAAGGAAACTAGTGAAAGAAAAAGGTTGTTAGGGTACGAAAATAAAGCAAAATAAAGACAACCATAAGGTGATGTCGTACGGTTGCGTTCGTCCGCTCTGGCAGTGCAGTACACTTGAGTACTTTTTCCAATGCTTGTGTGCAAAACTCACTGAAGTTCAAATTGACTTAAGCTCAAACAGAATAAATTTAATTATTACGGAATTTTTCAATCAGTTTGCACAACGATGATTGCCAGTACCACTGTTTCAATGAAGTATAAATGCCATAATGTTAAATTCAATTCCGAGTTTTGCTAATGGACTTATATTACTTTAGCTCAAGAAGGATCCATATCCATGGCCCGCTTCACATCACTACAGTATATCTAGTTAGAGAACTCACATATCGTTCAAGTGATCATTGTTCTGGCAGAAATCAAGTCTCAGCACTGAAGCAATCAAATCAACTAGAGCGAAGGATGCAGCACAGCTTAATTGGTCGTGTAACACAACTGATGGATTGACAAATATTGATGCTTTTTCACTACCACTGCTTTCGAGAGATGTAGCTGAAGAAAATCATGACCACAAGTGTATCACGACTTATTAATTTTTACTATCAAGACCATCTACAATTACGGGCAAAAAACTCTATTAATTTAAAAGCACAGTTATTCTAAAACTAACAGAATTTCCCAACTTCTCCAGCTCTTCTCTCGAGGTGACATGACGGTACTTAGCACAGATGTTTAGCAAAACAAATGATTTTATCTTCGAAAAATGATATATGCTTTGAAATTACAATGAGTTCGTGACCACAAAAAAAACTAACAGCTGACATTCTTTACCGAAATAAATGAAATAGAAGCTACTAAACGAAATTCCACGGAAGACACCCAATCATATTGGTCGGGGATCGCGTGTATAAATACTAATTTCGATGGGAGTGGCTAACCACGTGTATCGATAACCTATAGTAATATAATATTAGCAATGATTTTTAATCCTTTATATTGAATAATTTAAATCCAGTTGCCACGTTGCATTGTGAAATGAATAATTCCAAAAAAAAAAAAAAAAAA